TAGTCACAGTGTGAAAAGCGCTGATTTAGAAAACCAATCCCCCCTCAGCGCTCTGTGTGCCCAGCACACTTCCAAATACGAGTGTTTCGGGCAGTGTATTAGAGAGGATCAGTGGTCAGTGGTCACTGTAACAGTCTCCATAACTGATGCCTCACAGCATCATGAGGAGCTCTCAGCTTGCTGCTCAGCACCAGGTAGCTCCTTAAAGGCCCTGGTATTGCCCTATGTTCTTATAAGGCCCAGTCCCCGCATGTTCGGGAGCATCTGCTGGCTCTTTGGCTGGACCATGGGACTCTGACTTGCATGCTGGGCCCCACTCCACCCCTTGCCGTGCAAGCTAGATGCTAAGTTCCATGTACCTCATAATGGACATAAAAGCCCAGCGCGTTTTACACGCACAGTGATAGCCTGCACACTCTGGTCGCCGGTTGCCATCTCCACTGAGAGAAGCTCCTGGTAGAGGAGTGTGCTAGGTCCCAGCACTTAAAACTTGAAGGTAAACACGCTGCTAATGAGTTTATAAGAAGTGATTGTAATACCTCAGGAGGTTTTAGACAACATTCTTCTTAAACACTTTCCAAAAAGACTGCCAACATCCTGGCATCCCAACCATGTAGTGGACCATTACTTTATCCTTTTTTCCCCCCAGTACCCATCAAGAAAAAGTTGGGTAACATATTAATTTATGAATTGCCTTGCCATTATTTCTAAAAACAGTGCTCACACTTCAATAAGACTCTGTTATTTAACAGCTCATCCTGTTTTCAAAATGGCCTGTTTTTTAGCTATCTTTGTAAAAGAATTGAAATTCAAATACACTCTAGACTTCATATGCATTTCACTTGCTGCCACCCAACTAACAGGCCAGACACGACTACCACCCTGTCAGAAGTAAGGGGTCTGAGGTCCACACTGGGGAGAGAAAAGCCAGGCCCTCAGGGCATGATCCCGTGAGAAGTCCTGAGGCTGTGCTGGAGTCCGGCTGCCTGATGGGCTGTGTTTCCTTTTATGAGCCATGCCACAGCCCCTTCCACAGCAGGGTAAGGGGGTACCATGCCCTGGAACAGCAGAAAAGCACAGGGCCAGATGCTTATCTTCTGGTGGAAAGTCCTGGCTTTGCTACACTCTGACCCTAGGCAAGTCACTTAACCCTCTTAGACCTCCTTTCCTCTCCTGTCGCCGAGCTGATGACCTCAGATAGATCATCTGAGGTTAGAATGAACATGCTTTTGAGAGTATCCAGCACTATTAAAACAAAGGCACCACTCACGTGAGTCAATCCACAAGCATTTACCAAGAACCTACTTCGTATGAGGCAATATCCTTTCCCTAAACTGGCCCAGTTGGAGTGGGGAAATAAGATAAAAGACACAAAACAATAGCACAGGAGAAGTCACACAGCTCAAGATTAACTGCTATATGAGTACAGATTTCCGACGATTAGACAGGGGGCTTGAAAAGCTCTCTGAGAAGGGCCTGGCAAGGCAGGTCAGGCATGTGCACCTCAAAGGTGCTGGGATTGGGGAAGCACATGTGGAGGCCGATGAGGCTCTAAGACGGTGGTTCTCCACCTTCTGGCCCTTTAAATACAGTTCCTCATGTTGTGACCCAACCATACAATTATTTTTGTTGCTACTTCATAACTGTTATGTTGCTACTGTTATGAATCGTAATGTAAATATCTGATATGCAGGATGGTCTTAGGCGACCCCTGTGAAAGGGTCCTTCAACCGCCAAAGGGGTCGCGACCCACAGGTTGAGAACCGCTGCTCTAAGGGGAGGCTGAGGGTGGGGTGTGGTAGGCCCACTGCCCCCGGGCCTGCTGGGTGTGCTGCCCCTGCTGAAAAGCCCGCCATGCCCACACCCCCTTCTAAGCATCCTTGTGCCCCATGGCCCCTCATCCCCATTAGTTATGGCTGACTGCCCAGACTTAGGTGCCAAAGGAAGCCACAGAGAGCCTGTGGCGGAGGCAGCCGCTGCCTAAGGCACACAGCCCTACGGCCTAGAGAGCGACTCTCACACCCAATCACACCTTCTCCCCAGATGGGAGACAGAAAGATGCTCCCACAGCAGGGCAACCTCAGTCACACTCGCTGAGAACAGTAAGGTAGTTGAAGCCCTGAATCAGCAGGAGCCGAGAGGGCAGGGGGAGAAAGGGCCTTTCCTGCCGCAGCAGAGACAGAGCAAGCCGGGCCTCCTGCAGGGCAGGGCGATGGTGCCTGCCATGGAGGGGCCCTGGGGACTCTGGATCCTCCTAGGGCACCTCCCAGGGGCCCTCTGGCAGGCTTTGGCACCCTGCTGGCTTCCTGGCTTCCTCCTCGGTGCCCCCTTCCCTTTAACTCATTAACCAGGGCACAGGTTCTTCTCAACCCGGCCGCATAGCAGACTCACCTGTGAACCTTGTTACAAACAGCTTATGGACCTCACCACAGAGCTCCCAAATTAGAGTTCCTGGGGATGGGGCCAGGATAAGTGTGTTTTTCTTAAATTCCTCAGCGGATCCCACTGCTCTGCCACAAGGAGACCTGAGTGAAGGCAAGTTGCTCCGGGCCACAGGGCGAAAGCATAGGGTCCAGAGAGCAGACGGCAAACCTCAGGGATTTAAATCCCTCTCGTCTGTCCTTACTCTCAGACGCACAACATTATATTTATCTGGAAGGTTGCACACCTTCTAGTGCTAAGTTCCTGTTTAACCCCGCGTCGTTACAACACTCAGGATTTACAAAGCGCCTTCACGACCACGTTTCGAGGGCTTGCCCCCTGTCAGGCTCTGTATCAGGCTCTATCTACAGGTCGGCTCGTTTCTCATCCAGCAGCTCTGCGAAGTGGACACCAATCGTCCCTGTCTTAGCGACCAGGTCCTCTCAGGTGAGGGAGGCTAAAACCTCTTTCTACAGGTCGGCTCGTTTCTCATCCAGCAGCTCTGCAAAGTGGACATCAATCGACCAGGTCCTCTCAGGTGAGGGAGGCTAAAACCTCTCTTGTGAAAAGTGCCAACACGGGGACTTAAACTCAGAACCTGCTGGGTCTCTCCCCTGGGCTCTCAGATGTGTGTTTGGTCCTCGTGACTCCCTGCAGCCGGGCAGCAATGAGCAGGGCCCCGTTTCAGAGGTGAAAAGAGGTTCTGAGAGATTCTCTCATCAAACGACGCCACCTGAACCCCAGCTCACAAGCAAACGACGCCTTTCCACAGCCCTTGCCGGTGCAAAACTGGCTGGGCGAGGGCAGACCTTTCTCCGTTCGGGGAAAAGCGTTATTGAAAACACTCATCTACTGCCCCCAGTCCCTGTGGTTAGGCCTAGCCCAGCATGAGAACAATTCTTCTAAAAATGGGCATTTTAAACATGGAAGAAGCTGTCCTCTTTCCTCCGGTGTGTATCAGTGATTTCCCACCTTCAGGGTACGGGCCCCGCTGTGAGGTCAAGCAGTTTCAGACGCCCTGAGCAAACGCGGACAGTGAAGCGCAGGGTGCTCAGCTGACCAGTAACACAGTTGCTCACTGCCGCGTATAGTGTCACTTAGCAGCATGACTCAATTCAGAGTAGCTTTTAGCCACATTTTCTCAATTACAACGATGTGCATATACCTTTAAACAATAGCAGCTTATATTTATGCAATCGATAGGAAAAGCAAAGAGAGAGAGAAGAGAAAAGCCACAGAAGAAAGCACGACAGTGTCCAATGAATTAAGTTTTTGTGCCCCCAGTTGCAAATAACATTCAGCCCCTCCCAGATATTTCTAAATTATAATCATCTTTAACAGGCTGCTGTTGCTTGTAGAAATATAACCACCCAAATGCATACCAATCTTTAACCATACAGGGCACAGGAAAAAAATTAATCTTCCTTTGAGAACACTTACAGACTCACAGCGAGGAGGCTTACCTAAGAACGATGACAGCAGGACTAGGAGCGTGTTAGTGTCTTCATCTCCAAAACACGACGAGGCGTTCGTGGTATTCTCACTGAAGTTCCACAACGTTTTGCAAACTAAGCAGGCCAGCTGCCAGTCAGTCGGACCAAAGTCTCTCAAACAACCCACTAACCTGGGTTAACGGAAGTCAAATTGCGAAGTTATTAGGCCAGGCTCTCTTTAACTTGCACATTTCTAGCACAATGATGTTTATCCTTCTGCAATATTTAATACGTAATGTGTATAATCCAGTGATTCTTTACAATATTTTCATATCTACAAAGGTAAATGGCTACAAAGTCACCGTAATCTACTTCTGAATTAGTGTAAGGGTCCAATGGGACCCAAGTCCCCTCTTCGGCCCTAACTCAGCTCTTCCAAACGCTGAAATCCTGCTGCCCCGGAGGAATGGCCAGAGGGGCCTAAACTCCCCGGAGAGCTGTGCCCTCTGAATCCTGAGAGAGTCGGGACTCTGTGCCTCCACACTTACTTTTTAACGCCGCCTCCTTCCTTTAGGATGGCGTGCTTGTCTTTATCCACGGTGAGGTTCAGGAGGACGCCACAGGCAGAGAAGCACATGTCCTGATGCGTGGCGTCCAGCAGCGCGATCATGAACTTGTGTACTGGGAGGGCAGAGAACACACACGGCCCGTAAAGCACCGGGTGCTCAGCTGTGGCTCATTCCCCCTTATTGAAGGGGAAAGGGCAAAGAGGGAATGGGCGTGGCTTGCAAAACTGCAAACCCTACCAGGGGATTTAACCCTTTCTTCCTAAGGCACCGCCCATCGCCCAGCAGTGACCTGCCCCCCACCCAGCTCCTCGGTCCCCAGGCACAGCTGCGTCTGACCCCGAGAGCGCTCCCTCTCAGGGCTGCGGCTGTGGTCGAGTCCCTGCCGGTGGAAAGGAGGGAGCCATGGACTCCAGCCACGCAGGTGACGCTCATCTTTAACATCTCATGGGCCTTTTTTTAAAAAAAATATATTTTAATTGATTTCAGAGAGGAAGGGAGGGGGAGAGAGAGATAGAAACACCAACGATGAGAGGGAATCATTGATTGAATGCCCCCTGCATTCCCCACACTGGGGATTGAGCCCACAATCCAGGCATGTGCCCTGACTGGGAATCGAACCCTGAACTCCTGGTTCATAGGTAGAGCTCACCATTGAGCCACGCTGGCCGGGCTCACAGGCCTTTTGGAATTTCCAGCAGCATTTTTCTCTAAATACACAGCCCTGGCGAGGGCTCCTGATGATATCTCCCCCCAAGTCCTCCAGGGCCACAGAAGTCTTCATCAGAACCCTGGAAACCGGGCTGTGGCCAGGCAGGACTGCCTGGGCTGGGGACATCCCAAGTGAGGACCTCTCCCCGCCTCTGGGAAGCGGTTTCCCTGACTCCTGGGAATGGGACTCTTTGTCTTGTTTTCCGGTCCCCAGCAGGGCCTGGGTCAGGGCTGGGGAGAAGGGATAGGTGTGTTCTCTGCCTCCTCCCGTTTTCCTGCTCACCTGGGAGGTGGCCACCCTATTCCTACCTGCGCCCCAGGGATGGGCCCGGGGGTGAGCTTGGCAAAGGCTGCCTCACACACGTGTGTTCCTAAGAGTCTAAAGACCGTACACCAGGATGGAGGAGTTACCTCTGCGGAAGTGAGATGGTGCGAGACAGCCTGTGCTGCTGTTCCTCTCTGTCTCTATCATCTAAATTTTCTGCCATAAACATGGGTAATTGGGTATTTGTGGAAGAGAAAGGGGTGCTGTGATAAATCATAAACCCTTAACTGGGAAGGCTGTGGAGGGCAGTCACACCCCAGGCCTATACCTTCTTTCCTTAAAGGTTTTAAGCCAGGCCCTGTCCACTGGTCTGCTGCATCTAGAGCCACACACCTTTGAGATGCCAGAAGTAACACCCCTCAGAGGGGTAACACCCTTAAGAAAGCATATCATCTTGTGGCCCAGTTCCCGCCTGGCTCTCTCCCACCCTCACCTAATTCTCCTTACACCCCCTCCCCCCCTCCTTACTTTCAAATGCACAAGAGAACCCACAAACTTGTTATTCTCAGGAGCATTTGAGATTTTGCTCCCCAGTGCATGGTGTCAGTTTGGCTCAAATCAGCTCATAAAAATTCTCTACCGGTTTGGACATTTCTTACATCAACATATTTTTAGTTATTAATCTTACATGCGCTATTTGAAACATACAAAGGATGGCTAGTATAAACTCGTGTGTAACTGCCACCCAATGTAAGAAAGGTCTGAATTTGCAAAGGAAGATGGAGATCAAATGCATTCAAAAGAGAAAGGACCACTGTACATATGAAACTTTCTTTTTCAAGGAAGAAAACATTACAAATCCAGTTTTATACCTGGACATTCCTTCCCCTCCAAAGATAACTTCTACCTGGAATGTGGAGTTTATCCGTTCCAAATACTATTGATACCTTACACCATTATTACATGAGTACTTGACATAAACAATACCCAAGATTGTTTTGCATATTTTAAAACTTGCCTTAATGGCATTATTCTGTATATATCCCCCTATCACTAACATTTTAGCTCCTAGCTTATGTGTTTGAGGTTGATCCATGTTGGTCCATGAACCGCTAGTTCATTTATTTGTTGCTGTAGGACATTTTATGGCACGAATAAACCACAATGTGCTTATCCTCTTGCCTGTTGATGGTCACTTAAGTTGTTTCCATCTTTTGCTATGACAAGCAGTACTGTAATGGGCATTCTAGTACTTAAAGGAGACTGTCTCTTGAGTAACTATTCCCAAGGACAGAAATGAGCAAATGAGTATAGATGACTTCCTCTTCTTCTTCTTCTTCTTCTTCTTCTTCTTCTTCTTCTTCTTCTTCTTCTTCTTCTTCTTCTTCTTCTTCTTCTTCTTCTTCTTCTTCTTCTTCTTCTTCTTCTTCTTCTTCTTCTTCTTCTTCTTCTTCTTCTTCTTCTTCTTCTTCTTCTTCTTCTTCTTCTTCTTCTTCTTCTTCTTCTTCTTCTTCTTCTTCTTCTTCTTCTTCTTCTTCTTCTTCTTCTTCTTCTTCTTCTTCTTCTTCTTCTTCTTCTTCTTCTTCTTCTTCTTCTTCTTCTTCTTCTTCTTCTTCTTCTTCTTCTTCTTCTTCTTCTTCTTCTTCTTCTTCTTCTTCTTCTTCTTCTTCTTCTTCTTCTTCTTCTTCTTCTTCTTCTTCTTCTTCTTCTTCTTCTTCTTCTTCTTCTTCTTCTTCTTCTTCTTCTTCTTCTTCTTCTTCTTCTTCTTCTTCTTCTTCTTCTTCTTCTTCTTCTTCTTCTTCTTCTTCTTCTTCTTCTTCTTCTTCTTCTTCTTCTTCTTCTTCTTCTTCTTCTTCTTCTTCTTCTTCTTCTTCTTCTTCTTCTTCTTCTTCTTCTTCTTCTTCTTCTTCTTCTTCTTCTTCTTCTTCTTCTTCTTCTTCTTCTTCTTCTTCTTCTTCTTCTTCTTCTTCTTCTTCTTCTTCTTCTTCTTCTTCTTCTTCTTCTTCTTCTTCTTCTTCTTCTTCTTCTTCTTCTTCTTCTTCTTCTTCTTCTTCTTCTTCTTCTTCTTCTTCTTCTTCTTCTTCTTCTTCTTCTTCTTCTTCTTCTTCTTCTTCTTCTTCTTCTTCTTCTTCTTCTTCTTCTTCTTCTTCTTCTTCTTCTTCTTCTTCTTCTTCTTCTTCTTCTTCTTCTTCTTCTTCTTCTTCTTCTTCTTCTTCTTCTTCTTCTTCTTCTTCTTCTTCTTCTTCTTCTCTCTCTCTCTCTCTCTCTCTCTCTCTCTCTCTTCTTTCTCAGATATCAGAAGACCTCTCACAAGGGAGAGGGATCATGGAGAACATGCCTAGTCCCTCTTGGCATCCTGATCTGACAGCCGAATTACTGCATGCGGAACAGAATGTAAGTCTCTCTCCTGTCTCGGATATCAGAAGACCTCTCATGAGGGAGAGGGATCCGGAGAACATGCCTAGTCCCTCTTGGCATCCTGAGCTGACAGCCGAATTACTGCATGCGGAACAGAATGTAAGGCACTCACTCCTCCCAAAGCGGAAACAAGCGTCACATTGTCGTGGCCCAAGCTCTGAGACGGCGCCGCTGTTTTCTGGCAAGAAGTGCATGTTTATGGACACAAGTGTCAGTAACTCACCGTTCCTCCGCACAATGAAATCGCAGACGTCATGGTCCTGGGAGAGATTTCCAAACACACGCACAGCCTCCAGGACTCCGTCCATGTTCTTACTCACGAGAAGCTTTACAAGCACTGGGTTTGGCGACCAAAGAGTAAAATCAGTGAATTTAAGTTTTGATTTAAAGGCGATTGGAAACTAATTATCAGTAGCACAATAATCATAGTAAATACTGATACTGATAATTCAAAAATTAAAAATGATAATAAAATGCAAACTGCAGGGGACTTCAGCAAGAATTAAGACGCTAACTTTTCTGCACAGTCTAATTTCCCAGAATCAAATCAGGCTCTTAGATACTTGTGCCAGGAAATGAGAAGATATGAATGGTTCTAGTACTGTGTTTAGTTAATAAAATCAAAACCTTTGATGAACATGCCTCTACCCAAACCCAACTCTGAACCTTACATTCAGCAACATGTAGCTTTTGCTCTTGAATCACAGAGTTCTTCACTTGGTAGTAAGATAAGTTGTTGATTGTTGCTGTAGTATTAATCACCAGCTCCTCACAGTCATCAATTGACTTGTATTCTGAAACAAAGTAAGGGTGTCACAGACGCATCGCAGGGGCAGTAACAGTGCCGTCCTCTGGGCAGCCACAACCCCAGCGGCAGCAGGGATGTGCCCTTGTGCTGGGCAAGGTCTGTGCAGGCAAGGTCTTGTGCTGGGCAAGGTCTGTGCTGTTTGCTGCCTTATTTCCATGGCCCTTCCTGCAGGGAAATGCGCCACATGCAGGGGCCTCCTCCTGCCCAGGGTTTAGAACACTAAGTTCCATCCCTCCAACCGAGGGGTCTGGGAAAGTCCAGGCTCTGTGTCTGCAGTAAAGCAAGGGTGCCGACGCCCCAGTGAGCGCAGCCGTCTCTAAGCCCCCTGGTTCACCCTGACCCAAAACACACAGACGCTGGCCACTTCTCACCTGCTCTGCTACAATCTAGCCCGTCTCTCACCCCTAATTGGCTTCTCTTCATCCACCTTTGCCTCCCTGAGTCTATCCTCAGCAAGGTTATCCTTTAAAAGTCAGTCAGATAACATCATTGCTCTCACTTGGCCCCCAGACCCTCTCTGGGCTGCCCCAGTCCTGACCTTTCTGGCCTCATCTGCTGCTCCAGCCCCCAGCGCCCCCAGACCGACAGCACTGGTCTGTGTGTTCTTTCTGAACATGGCAGATGAGCCTTTCTGAGAATGTTGGCACGGCTGTTCCCTCTGTCTGGAATGTATCCTTTTCCCAGTTGCCCACTTAGCTAACTCCTCACATGCTTTGGGTTGTTGCTCAGATGTCACCTTATTGGACAGTTTCCTTAATCACCCTATATAAAATGGCACCCATCATTCTCTCTGCTCCTGACCCAACTTCAATGTTTTCCATAGAACACGTGACCACTTGACTTATATGTTTAACATATGTCTTCTAGCCCTAAAACTTAAGTTCCACGAGGACTAGTAATTCATCTGTTTTATTCATTGCTACATTCCCAGCATCTTAAGCAGCGTTTGCCATATAGGGAGTGCTCAATAACTAGTCAATGAATGCAAGAATAGGTGAATGAATCAATGACTAAATGAATGAATGAGTGAGTGAATGAACCTTTTAGCTTAGCACACAGACCCTCAGTAATTCTGCTCCGCCTTCCACTCAGCCTCCAGACTTATCTGGCCACAGTGCAGAGAAGGGCAGAGCAAGCACGCCAGTGAGAAGCCTCCTGTGGTAGTCAGATGCCGAATCATGTAGCTTAGGCTTGGGTGGTGGTGGGGATGGAGCACAGTGGACAGACTGAAAACTATTTCGGGAGGAAAATGGAGAGTATGAGGTGAAGGCTAGATTGGGGGGTGAGGGAGAAGAATCCCCCAGTGTGATCCCTGGGCTTCTGAATTACATAAGTGGATGAACATAACCCGGAAGAGGGTCCAGTTGGGGAGAAGGTCATGAGTTGAGCTTTGATATCTTGAGTTGCCTTTAAAGTACCCACATTTGGTGAGGGGTAAGCTGGACATAAGGTCTGGCAGTCAGAGGAAGTCACACTGGTTACACTGAGCCAACTACAGCAACGTGAGCAAGCCTCTGCCTCTCACCTCCGACCCTGCATATCCCCTCCACCCCTGCCCCAGCCTGGCAGGGAGCTACCTCCACACCTGCACACACCTTGGGACCGTGCCTGGTTAAGAAGTGCCTTTTACCTCTTGTATGAAACCAAACTTCCTCAGGGAATAAGAGGGAGGCGGTGAGCTGAGCAGGGGACGTGCTAGCTCTTATGTTTTCTGATTGCATTCTCTCTGGCCTTCTTTTCATGAAAGAGAATGGCCTCTTGTAGCTTACTCTATTCAAAGGAAGATTCAGTCATTCATATGCTACAGATAACATATTCTCATTTATTCTGTCTTTCTCCAAGTATTCATGGAGCGTCTACTATGTCCCGACTCCCATGCTGGCCTTGTGGGTGGGAGCGCTACTGGCTGAAGGACCAGCGTGTGTGTTCAGATGGAGTTACTTGATACGTTTGGACTTGCTTGGGACCTGGCAACCAAAACTTTGTTTCTATTTCTCCCTTTGGAACGAGAATGTCTAACCTGTGCCTGCCCCACCACTGTGTTTTGGAAGCAGACAACCTGCCTGGTTTTACAGATTTACAGCTGGAGAGGAATTTTTTTTCTCAGGCTAAGTCGTACCTCAAGTCACACAATATCTTGATTTAGATGATATTTAAATGAGATTATGGACCTTGGACTTTAGAGTTGATGCTGGAATGAGTTAAGACTTTTGGGGCTGCTGAGAAGGAATGAATGTATTTTTCATATGAAAAGGATGTGAATTTGGGGGTACCAGGGGCAGAATACTATTGACTGAATTGTGTTCACTTCCCCATATTCATATATTAAAGCCCTAACCTCCAATGGATTGTATTTGGAAACAGGGGTTTTAAGAGGCAATTAAAGTTAAATGAGGTCCTAAGGGTAGCGTCCTTATCCGGTGGGACTGGTGGCGTTATAAGGAGAGGAAGAGAGAGGCATTCTCTCGCTCTCCACATGCACACCTTGAGGAAAGGCCGTGTGAACAGTCATCTGCAAGCCGGGAAGAGAGCTCACAGGAACCAGAGAGGCCAGCACCGGAGGCTGGGCTTCCAGCCCCCAGAACTCTGAGAAATGCATTTCTGGTTTTTAAGCCAGCCGAGCCGGTCTGTAGTGTTTTGTTATGGCAGCTTGAGCTGACTAATACAGGGGAAAGATAGGACCTGGATAACCTGGGGCTGTAATGACAAATAACGTGACAACCTGAAAAATAAAAATAAAAGTAAACTTTAATCATGTGGGCGCTGTAATTACAAATAACGTGACAACCTGAAAAATAAAAATAAAAATAAAAGTAAACTTTAATCATGTGGGCTAACCATGGGAAAATTTGGGATTTTAAACCCTTTGTGGTAATTTTGGCCAGTTTTTGGTAACTTGATTGGAATACTTTTTAAATACTGCAATGTAATTCACATACCATAAAAATTCACCCTCTTAACGTGGGTTTTAGCAGTAATTCATATTACTATTTTTTTCATTTTTAAAAAAATCTGGATTATCTTTGAGGCATTTCTGAACAGAAGAGGAATTTTCTTTCACGGGGCTGAGAAAAAAAAAAGTGAGCTGACTGTACGAATAAAACCCTGAGCACACCCGGCCCCCAGAGCTGTGCCTGCTGCAGGGAGCAGCCGCCTGTGTACACACAGCTCCGCGGGCCGAGGGCCTTACCCAGAGTCCTGCGGCTTCTGTGGCGTGGGCTGCTCATCTCCATCCCCTGCTGGCCTCTCGGGATGCAGGTCCAGCTCGTAGAAGGCGCGGAACAGTGACAGCAGGGTCGGGATGCTCTCTTTCTCTTTGAAAAACTGCTCACGAGCCTGGTTGTTTTTCGCTGTCAGGTTGCCAAGAATGAAAACAATACGAACGACCAAGTCCTGCAATAAATGACAGACAATGGGTTTCAAGTGCACAGCGGCTGGGACAAATTGTTGGAAAGAGTTCAGTATTTCATTTACTCACGATTTAACTAACAGTGAAAGGGAACACGTCTGGCTTGGACTAACTTGTACAGGAGTTGATTCCCAAGATTGGTGCAAATTGACAGAGGTGATTAAAGCAGAAGACAAACTGTTCGATGCTATATAATTAGAAGGTCTATTAACTTCAGATCCTTCATGGGGAATGCTGGCTGGCCTTTCCTCCCTCTAAAAAGTGGACTGGGATATCATTACTAAGAACAATGCATTACGTAAATCTAAGCTTGTTCTGGAGGATCCGGATCTTTTCCTGGAGGTTCACCTGTGGAAGCGCTGTGTTTCTAAACATCAGGTAATAACGTTTGGTCAGATTGTGTTACAGTGGGGTGTTGGCGGCATTACTGACGTTTGGGGCTGGACAATTCTTTGCTGGGCGCTAGCTGCCTTGTGTTAGCATTCCTGGCCTCTACTGCCAGATACCAGTAGCACCTCCCCAGATGCCATAGCCAGAAATGACCCCTGGGGACACCACGGCCTTATCTCTGCATACCACTTTAAAGCAGGACTGGACTTGTCTTTCTTGACCTGGGTAGTGGTTACATGGGTGACACCTTTACAACTGTTTGCTAACTGGTACATATGTGTTTCATGAACTTTTCTGTGTATATGATATATTTCACAAAAAATTAATAAATGTTTCTAAAAACCCCAAGATGAGTACATTTTACAACTAAACCAGATACAGCAACAATTAGGTTCGTAATTCGACAACAGACCTATGAGTGTGGTCGACCTTGCACACGGTGGTGAAGGGGGTCCTGGGAGGGAGAGATTTGAAAGGAGAACTTATGACCGGTTGCAACCGGCTTGGGTGCTAATGGTCTTGTGCGGGTGCTGTGCTATTTTACAGACAAGGAGCCAGCCTGGAGAAGTGCCGGGTCCGGCAGCCAGCGAGGGCGGAGTCAGGCTGTGAACCCCGCATTGCCCAGCCCTGCAGTCCTTTCTGCATCCATGCCCTACTTCCCACGTGTTTGTCATTTAGTAATCTCCTCCTTGGACTTGCCTTCTTTCAGAACAGCTCGGGAATGATCTCCTTTTAAAATGCAACTATGTCACCGGGAGGGATTCCAATAAACTTTGTTTATCAGATTAGTAGTTACCAGCAGCCTTAGAGAAAAAGGCCACAGGCAGAGGAGGACGGGGCTGTAGGTAAAAGCAGGCTCCCTTAGCGGTCATCTTTCTTCAAAATACAAAGGAGCTCTACCAACCCTCACAGGTGGCTAATCCAGGAAGACTCAATGCTGCTTTTCTTTTAAAAGTTCCCTCGGGCCCCTCCCACTTCTAAGATTCTTTCATTCTAACATCTCTGTGGTCCCAGCGTGGCCTAGGGACCTGGGGAGAAGAAACTAGGTGGTAAGGCAGGAAGGGTTCACACTGCTAGGAGCCATCTCTCCCTGCCTTCAGAGAGGAGAAGGAGGGGGCGGTTCCTGGCAGCAGCGATGCCAACAGGTGGTAAGGCAGGAAGGGTTCTCACTGCTAGGAGCCATCTCTCCCTGCCTTCAGAGAGAAGGAGGGGGCGGTTCCTGGCAGCAGCGATGCCAACTGCAGGATGGCATTCGAGATCCACGGAAGGGGCCGGCAGATTGCGCAGTCTGCCTCAACACGCTTCCAGCAACTGCTGCGCTCACTGTGTCTGTCGTCTTTCTCGGGGTTGGCTGAGGCTTTCTCCCCTCCTCCCCTTTCTCAGAACATTCTCCACGAATGGAGGGAGCACGGGACAGGCCAAAATAGAAGCAGTCTCCAGGAGGCTGGCAGGAGTGGCGTTTCCTTTTTCCCAAGCCAGCACTTGTCTTGACTCATCTGGAATCCTGTGAGCGGAGGCTGAGCAGGAGGGCGCTGCGGGCCCTGAGCTCATCACCGAGGCCTCCGCACCGCCCCGGGCACAGAACTGCACCAAGATGGCATGAGAGAGAGGTAATGGACTGTTCCACCGCCACAGTTCATCTCAAGTCTACAAAACATCACTTCACTGAAAATCCTCTCAAGATCTGAAAAACTGGACAAAGACCAAAAATCACTGATTTGCAGAGACCGCGATTCCACAGCAGGAAACTCTTTCAATATGCAATTCTCTTCTGAGATACAGATTCTCTCCTTCCTTCTTAGACAATATCTGGGAAGTACATATAAATCGACAGTGCACTTTTATGGCATTTCTAATAAATTTAACCCAAAGCTGCTTATTCCTACCACAGCTATGAAACAGCAAATCGAAGACGAAATAGGAGAGATACATTAAAAAAAAAAAAAAAGAAGGCAGTCTAGTATAACCAGTTCATAATGACTTTCTAATTTTGCTTAAAATGGCCTCGGCCTAGCAACAGCTGTGGCCAACCAGCGCTCAGACAGGTACACCTACTGTAAGAAGCCTGACCTCAGCCTGTGGGATATTCTCTTTGGTTTCACATGTTGTGCCCTAATGAGTAAGCACGTTACGCAATCTGCATGAGCCCCACAGGGCTGTAGATAAAGCTGCTTTCACAGGAACAAAACAAGGAGCAGGACGCTGCTGAGCAGAATGGTCCATGTCCATTGTTTCCAGCAGCAGCAGCAGTGGGTGTTGAATGTTACTTTCCACGTGAGAGAGATTGGCCTCAAGTCGAAGAAGGAGATGCCCCTCTACTCAGAGATCTGGCAACTGATCCAGAGGCTCACTGACCCCAAAGTCCAACACAGGTGAAGAGAAGAGGCAGGACTTGAATAGATGCCCAAACTACCATCAGCCCATCTCCTCATTCCAATGACCCTCATCTTCCTACTCTGCCAGACTCAGCCCAAGGGACATTTTTGATTCCTCCCTGTCTCACTCCCCTCCCCAACCAGTCACCAAGTTCCCTCTGCTCTATCATCTCAAAATCTCCCCCCACTCCCTCCTTCCCATGCTCACTCTGGTTAACCTGTTGGGAGACTCTTGTCGGAGACCTTTGACGAGCTCCTCCCTGTGAGATCAACGTTAACACCACTTCTTGAAGAACAGTTCTACGCCATGTCCTTGCTCAAAACATCCACTGCCTATCAAGTGTCAAAACCAGAACCTAATGCACCATCTGGCCCCATGGGACCACTTCTGCGTTACCTCACACGGCTCCCGGCCCACAGCCAGCCACAGGGAACGCCTTTCTCCCTGACTCCCACACCCTTCCTATCCACCTTCAAATAACTGATGTGCATCATGTTGACCTGGGGAAGGAACCACCTCGGGCTGTCACAGAAGGAATAAACGATGTTCAGCAGACTTCACTTAGTAGAGGAGTACTTCTAAGTAAAGAAAAACATTTTAGAAAGATTTTTAAAAACAGGTTTAAACTGCAGGGGTTGTCAACGTGCTTAACCAGAAAATTACGTTAATCAACATGCTCTGTTTAAAACTTGGTTGGAAAGTTCTTGTGCAATCTGGAGCTGAGAGCTGAATCAGGATTTGCAATTTATAACATTTACCCAGCCTCCCACCCTCACTCAAAACCCCGACGTGAACTGAGCTTATCAGTGGCCAGAGGCTCGGTAAGTTTTACCAGTTTAGAAGCCAGGCTGTACTGCTGTAAAAATGCTAACAAACCGTAGGGTACGGAAAGTGGGCCAACAGTTTGCATAAGCGCCGAACCATGTACAATGGAAGGATCTGGGATGCTGGAGACTCAAAACCCAGAACCTAGTGGAAAGCCATTTAAAAACCAGAAGAGATTATACTTGATGCCTCCATCCATCTGTCCATCCCATCAGCACTCATTTACTGAGCAGCCACTATGTCAGTGATTTCCAACCGGTGTGCCACCTGTTTTTAAAACATGCAATACCCGACTAGTCAGCGGCACTGACCTCTTTACCTTTAGATTCTCAAATAAAAAAAATGGCAAAAGCTGTCTGGTGTGAATGAATCAAAATTGTACCTTTTTTTTTTTTGTCAGATCAGCAAAATATATATTTTTTGGTGTGCCAGAGAATTTTAGGAATTAGTTTGTGTGTGCCGTGAGATGGAAAAGGTCGAAAATCACCGCACTGTATGCTTCTGAGCCCCGGGGCAATGCTACAATCCCACTGCATCCTGTTCTTTAAGGCAGGCATTCGGGTTCCGTCCTGAGTCGGGGAAGAGCCAGTTCCACAAGGGCAAAGCCGCAGGAGCTGGAAAGCATGAACAAGCTGAGGGCTTGTTGTGCTGCCTGCTCGCCCGGTCAGGGGAGCAGACCAAGGCCAGGGCTGAAAAAAAGGAGCAAGCTCAGCCAAATGCTTTCGGCACCCACTGGGAACTCGCCGGCAGAGGGCCTGGGAAGAGAGCCACCGGGCACGCTCCTGCCAGGCGGGAGGCGGAGGGGGAACCGCAGCCAAGTGGCCACAGAAAGGCGCCAGAGTGAGAGGTGGAGGGGCTGCCTCACCCATCCTCATCGGCCCCAGAGAGGACGAGGGGAGAGAGAGGTCATGTTATCCCTGGGCAGCCGCACAGCCGTGCTTGCGTTAGAGAAGAACAGTGAGAAGCGTGGCAGATGTCCCTGTGCCGCAGCCCCCACTGTCCCGTCATTCCTGGTCTCATTTTCAACACCACGATGCCCAAGCATCCAGGTCAGACGGGGCTCACAGGGCTGGAGACGGCGCTTAAGGGGAAGTCCGGACGGAATGAGAGGCCTGACTTTCAAAGCAGCACAAGCAAGGACGTGTCTGGCGGCTCCCGTACAGGGCTGTGCAGGCTCCGATGACAGCCCCACCTCTGGGAACTGTGTGTTAACCCGCCTCCCCACCCACCGACATTTCTACAGGTGGAGAGGGTCAGCCAGGCAGTTGTTCAATAGACGTGAGTGACGGGGATAGAGATAAGGGTTCTTTTTTTGGGACATTGACCTTTTGCAAAAATATTGCCAGTCTTAAAAGTCATATTGGAGGCATTTTATCAGATACCCTGCCCGGCA